TCCAGGTGGCCACGCAGCTCGGGTACGGCCCGGGGGCCTCGCAAGGGCTGTGGGGTCCCCAGAGTGCCCTCAGGGTGTCCCCACCGTGTCCTGACAAGGGGCGTGGGCCCCTCATGGTGTCCCCCCAGGGTCCCCATAAGGTTTACCGGTTCCACACTGTGTGCTCAGTGTCCCCACGGTGTCCCCCTGGTTCCCACAGGATTCCCACGATGTCCCCAGGATCCCCAGTGTGACCCCACAAGGTTCATGGGGTCCCCACAATGTCCCCATGGCCTCCACAGTGTCCCCAGGATCCCCAGAGCGTCCCCACAGTATCCCCTCCAGGTTCCCACAAAGCTTCTGGGGTTCCCACGGGGTCCCCCTGATCCTCCCAGGGTCCCCACGGTGTCCCCACGGGTGTCCCCGCAGGGGTGGCCTGGCGGAGGCGGCGCTGGTGGCCCGGGTGAACGGGGTCCTGCAGGACCTGGACCGGCCCCTGGAGCACGACAGCGACCTGGAGCTGCTCGACTTCTCCTCGCCGGAGGGGCGGGAGGTGAGGCTGGGGGGGCTGGGGGGAGCCCAGGCCCACCCCGTGCTCCCCTCACCGCCTGTGTCCCCCCGTGTGTCCCCCCCGTGTGTCCCCCCCGTGTCCCCCAGGCGTTCTGGCGCTCCGGTGCCTGCGTCCTGGGGGCGGTGGCCGAGCAGTTCTTCGGGGGGACGCTCTGCAGCGCCCGGGCCACCGAGGACGGGTTCTACTGCGACGTGCACATGGGGAGCAGGTAGGGCTGGGGGGTGACACAGCGCCGAGGGTCCCAGGGGGTCCCGGGGTGTGCCCAGCCTGTCCCCTGCCCCGCAGGACGGTGCAGAGCGCGGAGCTGCCGGCGCTGGAGGAGGCCTGTGCCGCGTTCGCCAGCGCCCAGCACCGCTTCGAGCGCCTCGAGGCCCCGCGCCAGCAGCTGGCTGAGCTCCTCAAGGTGACAGCCCAGAGTGTCCCCTCCCCATCTCAGGATGAGCCTGGGGACACTGGGATTCTCCTGGTTGGGAGAGGGTGATGCTCGTGGGGACCAGTCTCGCCCCCCTTGGTGCCACCTGTGCCACCTTGGTCCTTTTTCCCCAAGGGCGGTGTCACTTCCCCCTCGGTGCCACCCCCTGGAGTGTCACCTGTGCCCCCATCACCCCATTGTTGTCCCCCCTCAGCACAACAGCTTCCAGCTGCAGCAGCTCGAGGAGGAGGTGACGTCCCGCATGGCCACGGTCTATAGGTGAGCAGGGGGGACGCTGCAGGGGGGGAGAGGACACCGGGGGGTCCCCGTGACTGTCCCCATGTCCGTCCATCTGTCCCCCAGGTGTGGCCCCCTGCTCCAGCTCTGCCGTGGGCCCCTGCTCCGGCACACGGGGCTGATCCGAGCCCTGCGCGTGCTCACGGTGGGTGTCGGGGCAGGGAGGTGGGGAGGGGTCCCTGTCACCCAGCCCCCCCTGACCCCCCCTGCCCCCCCAGAGCTCGGCTGCGCTGTGGGGGGGGCTGGGGGGCCAGTCCCTGCAGCGCGTGGCCGCCGTCGCCTTCCCCAGCCGCGAGGGCCTGGAGCGCTGGGAGCGGGCGCAGGAGGAGGCGGCTCTGCGGGACCACCGGCGCATCGGGAGGGTGAGCCCTGCCAGGGGTGGGGCTGGGGGGTCGCTCAGGGTGCCAGGAACCCCCTGGTAACATCCCACCCTCACCCCCTGCACGCAGGAGCAGGAGCTCTTCTTCTTCCACAAGTTCAGCCCCGGCAGCTGCTTCTTCCTGCCCCGCGGCGCCCACGTCTACAACGCCCTGGTGGAGTTTATCCGGGTGGGACCCTCCTGCAGCCCCCCCTCACTCACTCACAACTGCCCCCCAGTTCCCCTTGTACCCCCGTGGCTACAGCCCCCCCAGTCCGAGCTGAGGCTCCCCCCCGTCCCTGTCCCCGCAGAGCGAGTACCAGGCGAGGGGCTTCAGCGAGGTGGTGACCCCCAACCTGTTCAGCCCCCGGCTCTGGGAGCTCTCGGGGCACTGGCAGCACTACAGCCCCCACATCTTCTCCGTCCCCGCCGGCACCGAGACCCTCTCCCTCAAACCCATGAACTGCCCTGCCCACTGGTGAGTGGGGGGGCCCTGGGGCACCCCAGGGGGGCTCCTGGGGGCTCTGCCCGTCTGTCTGTCCGTCCCCAGCCTGATGTTCGCCCACCGACCACGCTCCTGGCGGGAGCTGCCCCTGCGCCTGGCGGATTTTGGGGTCCTGCACCGCAACGAGCCCCCCGGCACCCTGACGGGGCTCACGCGGGTCCGGCGCTTCCAGCAGGACGACGCCCACATTTTCTGCACCCTGGAGCAGGTGTGTGTGACCCCCCCGACCCCTCCCTGACCCCCAAAATGCATCGCCCACCCCCCCCACTGACACCCCTCTCCCAGCTGGAGAGCGAGATCGACTCCTCCCTGGATTTCATCCGCGCCGTCTACGCCGTCCTGGGCTTCTCCTTCCGCCTGGCCCTGGCAACGCGGCCCGAGGGCTTCCTGGGGGACCCCGACACTTGGGACCGCGCTGAGCAGGTGGGACGATGCCCCCTGGGCCGTGTTCCCCACTGCACTGTCCCCTCCTGACCCCCCCCGATCCCTCCCTGCAGCAGCTGGAGCGGAGCCTGTGGAATTTCGGGCAGCCCTGGGAGCTGAGTCCGGGAGATGGCGCCTTTTATGGGCCCAAGGTGAGGGATTTTGGGAAGAGAGGGGGTCCCCAACGGAGGCAAACGGGAGCCTTTGGGAAGCTCCCATCCCTCTTATTCCCGGTAGATCGATATCCGTATCCGGGACGCGCTGGGGAGGCACCATCAGTGTGGCACCATCCAGCTGGATTTCCAGATGCCAGAGAGATTCGAGCTGGAATATGCCAGGTATGGGAGTGGGGTGGGCAGGATTGGGCTGGGAGGGCAGAACTGGGGATTTGGAGGGGGCAGGATTGGGCTGGGTTCAGAATTGAGATGGGGAGGGATCAGGATGTGGGTGGGGGAGCAGGATTGGGGCTGGGGGAGCAGGATTGGGGCTGGGGGAGCAGGGCTGGGGCTGAGAAGTGTCTGAATTGGGATGGAGAGAAAAGAATTGAGGATTTGGGGGGGATCAGGGTTTGGGGGGGTAGAGATTGGGACTGAGGAGGGTCAGGTTGGGATAGGAAGGGCAGAACTGGGGATTTAGGGGGGTGGGCATTGGGGCTGGGAGGGTCAGGATTGGGATGGCGGGTCAGGACAGGCTGGGTGGGGCAGAAATGGGGTTGGGGGTGGTGGGACCCCCCTGCCCTCTGACCCCCCTTTCCCCCCAGCCCGAGCGGGGGTCCGGCGCGGCCGGTGCTGATCCATCGGGCCGTGCTGGGCTCCGTGGAGCGGATGGTGGCGGTGCTGGCCGAGAGCTGCGGGGGCAAATGGTGAGAGGGGGCCCCAAAAACACCTCCTGCCTCACCCCACCACCCCTGGGACAACCCCCAACCCCTGGGACAGCCCCCAAACCCTGGGACACATTTAATCCTAAATCCCCAATCCTTGGGAGACCCCCATCCTAGAGACACCCCCCTAGTCTTCAGGGCCTCCTCATCTTCGGCATCATCCCTGTCCCAGGGGACCCCACTTGGGACAGGTCCCCCCCAACTTTGGGTACACTCAGTGCCCAGGACACCCCCCTAAATCCCTGGGGCACCCCTATCCTGGGGGCACCAGTGCCCCCTGAGGCCCCCCCATGACCTCTGGTGCCCCCCAGGCCCTTCTGGCTGTCCCCACTGCAGGCCATGGTCATCCCACAGACCCCTGAGGTGGAGGACTACGCCCGGGAGGTGAGTGTGTGACCCCCTGTGCCCCCCAGGACTCCTGGCATGTCTCCTCCATCCCCTTGTAACCCCCCCCATCCCCCTGTAACCCCCCCATATCCTCCCATTCCATCCCTCCGTGTCCCCCCCACCCCTTGTTGCCCTCCCGTGCCCCCCACTGATGCTGAGGGGGCAGGTGCAGGCAGTGCTGAGAAGGGGGGGCCTCCTGGCTGACCTGGATGGGGACCCAGGGGCCACCCTGGCCCGGAAGATCCGCCGGGCCCAGCTCGCCCACTACAACTTCCAGCTGGGTAAGGGGGGGCACGCGGCCCACAGACCCCCGGGACCCCCCCAGGACCCCTCCAGGGAGCCCCCCGGGACTGGCTGTGCTGTCACCCACCCCCCTCCACACCCTGGGTGCTGCTGGTGGGGGGAGGCACTGGGACCCCCCCAACTTGAGAATTCCCTGGGACCCCTCCAGAGACCCCCCCCTGGGATCCCAGGAGCTTCCTCCCCCCCTTTGGGAATTCACTGACACTCCCCTCCTTGGGACCCCCCTGAGACCCTCTCAGGAACTGTTTTAGGGACCCTCCCCAGGACCCCCTGAAATCCCCACTCCCTTTGGGCCCCCTTGGGACTGTTCTAGGACCACCTCTCCCCTGAGACCCTCCTGAACCCCCCATCCCTCAGGACCCCCATCCCCCAGGATCCTCTGACCCCGCAGGGTGGTGGGTGCTGCTCAGAGCTGGGGCTGTGGGGTTGGGGTGTGTTTAGGGCGGGGGTCCCGTCCCCCCCTGACGGCGCTGCCCCGGCAGGGCTGGGGCTGTGGGGTTGGGGTGTGTTTAGGGCGGGGGTCCCGTGCCCCCCCCCTGACGGCGCTGCCCCGGCAGGGCAGTGGTGGGGCGGCGGGAGCGGGAGCGCGGCACGGTCAGCGTGCGGACCCGGGACAATCGGCAGCTGGGGGAGCTGGAGCTGCCGCGGCTGCTGCGGCGCCTGCGGGAGCTGCGGGACGGCCGCGTCCCCGACGCCGAGCGGCGCTTCTGACCCCCCGACCCCACCCCGGGACCCCCGGGACCACCCCCACGCTCAATAAACCGCTGGGAAAACGCGCTGGATGTGGCGGGAGCTGAGAGGGGGAGGGGGGTGGGACACCGGGACCCCTGCGCCCCAACACCTGAGTTACCCCCCACCTGTGCACCTGGCCCCCCATCCCAGCACTTGTGTGTCCCCCCCATCCCAGATTCCCAGGTGTTCCCATTCCCGGGTATTCTCTCCCCCCTACCCTGCACTTCTGGGTCCTTCCCGCCGGGATTTCCCCCCGCCCACACGTGGGGAAAGTGGGGGGGTTGCGCAAACCCCGAGTCACGTCTGGACAGGGTTGGGCAATCGGGGAGGGGGACACGGGGGGGACACGGGGCTGGCACCTGCCTGGGCATTTGGGCTCAGCCCCAGGCAGGATTTACCCCCCCCTCCCCGGGATCCCCCTGTCCTGGGATGAAGGGAGGTGGCCGAGCCGTGACCGTCTGGCCACTGCTGCCCCACACTGGGGTGTCCCCAGGGCTGGGGACAGAAGCTGAGGCCCCCCCACTCTGAGGGTCCCTCCGTGGGTGGCCCCTGAGCCCCCCCCAGCGCCAGGGGTGACTCAGCGGGCGGTGGCCCCAAAACGGGTCAAAACCCACAAAAATGTGGTCCGACCACTTCCCCCTGCTGTGACGCAGGGGTCTGGGGAAGGGGGGGCTGGGGCCACCAGAGGGGGGGTCCGGGGCTACCAAGGTGGGGACAGGACCACCAGGGTGAGGACGGGACCACCAGGGTGGGGACAGGGCCACGGCAGGGTCCCCGGCCTGGTTGGGGTTGGGGGTCACGACCCAGGCCCTTTTTGAGGGTCCGGGACGTGGCACAGCCCCCCAGCCCCTCCCGGGGTCCCCCCCCGGCCTGGCCCCGACGTCAGGCCGTGAGTCAGCCCCGCAGGATGTGGCCCCGCACCCGCCCCGGCCCTTCATAAGGCGGCGGAGCCGGCGGTGGCCCCACAGCGCCCGACGCCATGGCGGCCTTCGGCCTCCTCCTCCTCCTCAGCGCCGCTGGTGAGTCCCGCGGCCCCGAGCCAGGGCCCCCTGCACGGCTGGGCCTCCCCCCTGACACCCTCGTCCCTTTCCCAGACACCTCCGTCCCCTTCCCACACACCTGGATCCCTTCCCGAACTCCTGGATCCCTTCCCGAACTCCTGGATCCTTTCCCTGGGCACCTGGATCCCTTCCCAAACTCCTGGATCCCTTCCCCACAGTCACCTGGGGCCCCTTCCTGAACCTCCGGGTCTCTTTCCCGGTCACCCACGGCCCCTTCCCGAGCTCCCGGGTCCCACCTGGGACACCTGAGTTCCTGCCCCGGTGTTTGGGACACGTCCAGGGTGTCCCACCCTCGCTCCGGGCTCCCCGCCCCGGATGTGCCGCTCGCTGCCCACACACCTGGGGCCCTCCCGAGCTGCCCGGGGGTCCCTGTCCCCAACTCCTGGGCCCCCTCCCCGGGATGGGGTCCCCAGCCCGCAGGTTTGGGAGGGTCTCTGCTTGTTGCCCCACGGGGTGGGGTGGGGGGATGGAGGGGGCGACCCTGCTGACCCCCTGTGTCCCCCACCGGTGACAGCGGCGGCCTCGAGGCAGGTCCAGCAGGTGATACAGGAGAGCCTCGACCTGCGGCCCCCCAACATCGAGCAAGGTGAGGGGAGAGAAGGGACAGCCAGGGGTGGGGGGACACGGGGGGACACCCAGGGATGGGGAACACAGGGGGACACCCAGGGATGGGGGAACACAGGGGGACACCCAGGACGGGGGAGAGGGAGGTGCTCACGGGTGGGGATGTGGAGGGAGGGGACGAGGTTGGGGGTCGAGGGACATGGGGACATGGATGGGGGAACAGAGGAGACACAGGTGGGGGGATATGGGGTGGGAATGGCTTGGGGACAGTGAGGGTTGGGGATGGGGTTGGGGGACACCACGATGGGAGACACGGACACTGGGACGGGGAACAGAGGGGAAGAGGGGGCACATGGGGACAGTGCAGGGGGGGCACCACCTGCCGTGTCCTCAACACCCCCCATCCTTTTTCAGTGCTGCAGCAGGAGCAGGACCTGGTGGTGCCCCCCAACGTCGTGTTAGGGGGGGCCACGGCAGCCTCGAGCAGCCCCCCGATCTGGGGCAACGCCCTGGATGGGTTCCCCCCGGCCTGGCCCGTGGCCGCCGCCGTGACCCGGCACTGCCGCGACCCCCCCACGGCGCCCCCGCCCCCGCTGCTGCCCCCACCGCCTTCGCCCACCTGCGCCGTCAGGCGGCTGCGCTGGCCTCGCTGCAGCCCCGCATGAGCGACTGCTGCCGCCACCACTCCCCGCTGCCCTGCGCCCGCCGCGCCGTGAGTGCCACACACGGGGACAGGAGGGACAGGAGGACACCACGGGGACAGGGGACAGGGGGACACCGCGGGGAGGGTGGGACACCGCGGGGAGGGGCACGAGGGGATACTACGGGACAGGGAGACAGTGGCGAGGAGGGGACTGGGACACCACTGGGAGGGGGGATGTAGAGACACTGCAGGGATGGGGGACACCGCAGGGATGTGGGGACACCGTGGGGCACGGAGACACTTGAAGTGGGGGACGTGGGGACACTGCAGGAAGGGAAGACACAGAAACACCGGGGCGAGGGGAATGTGGGGACGAGGCGGGCAGGGGGCACCGTGGGTGGGGACACCGTGGAGGGAAGGACGCGGGGCCACCGCGGGGCCGGCGTGACCCCGAGGGGGCTCCGCAGTGGACGGACGTACTGGACGGGTTCTGCACCGACGAGTTCGGGGTGAAGACGCGGCAGTTCCACTGCTGCCGCCGGCACGGGGCTGCGCGGCGCCGCTGCTTCGCCCAGGAGACCCCCGCCCCCGCCTGGGACCCCAACACCGCCTGGGACCCCAACACCGCCTGGAACCTCATCACCGAGCCCCCCTTCCCGCCCGGGGAGCCCACAGTCACCAACATGGGCAACATCTGTGGGCTGCGGGCGCTGCGCCCTGGCCCCCCCGCACCCGGCGCCCGCTCCGGGCCCCGCGTGCGGCTGAGGGTCCGCCTGGAGAGAGAGTACGGGCGGTGCTGCCGCAACGAGAGCCTGAGCTGCGCCCACGGCGCCGTGAGTGCGGCACGGGGGGACACGGGGGGACATGGGGGGACACGGGGGCAGGGAGGGGCCTGGAATCAAAGGACGAGGGGGACTTGGGTGTCTGGGAGGGTCTGGGAGGGTGTTGAAGGACTGGGGGGATCCAAATCTGGGAAAGGGACAGAAGTGAATGGGAAATGGACCCCAGGTGTTCAGGAGGGTCTTGGGTGTTGAAGGACTGAGGGGAACCAGGTATTTGGGAGGGGGATCCAGGAGTCTGGGAAAGGGATCCAGAAATCCAGGAAAGGGACCCAGGAGTCTGGAAAAGGGACCCAGGTGTTTGGGAAAGGCACCCAGGAATCTGGGAAAGGCACCCAGGAGTCTGGGAAAGGCACACAGGAGTCTGGAAAAGGGACCCAGGTGTTGGGGAAAGGCAGCCAGGAGTCTGGGAAAGGCACACAGGAGTCTGGGAAAGGCACCCAGGTGTTTGGGCTGGCCCTCAGGTATCCGGGGAGGGGACCCATTTGTTTGGGAGGGCCCCCGGCATCCGGGGAGGGGCCCCAGGTGCCCCGGCAATGACCGGGGTGCCCGGAGTGTGACCCAGAGGCTGGGGAGGCACCCGGGTGTCTGCAGGGGTGACGAACGTGTCAGGGAGGGACCCAGACGTCAGGGAGGGGTGGAGGTGTCTGGGGAGCGACCCAGGGCTTGGGGGGGCTCAGGTGCCTGGGAGGGTCTGAGGGGGACCCTGATCCCCCTCCCCTTTGCCCCGCAGTGGCTGAAGGGGCTGAATCGGTTCTGCCGGGAGGAGTCGTCGGTGAAGACGGGGCAGCACCGGTGCTGCCAGCGGGGGGGTCTCCGGGCCCGGGGCCGCTGCTTCGCCGCCGCCGCCCCCCACCCTGCCTACGACCGGGAGCTGCACAACGTGAGCCTGGCCCGGCCCGGCACGGCCCTGCTGCGCTCGCTCTGCGGCCCCACCCGCCTCTTCACGCAGAGGTTGGTGACCCCAAAACCCCCCCAGCACCCCCAAACCCCGGCACCCAGCACCCCACAGTCCCTGATGCTGCAGGGGACCCGAGGTGACCCCTTGTGACACGCCCTGTCCGTGCCCGCAGGCGGCCGGTGCCGGAGCTTTTTGGGGCCGTGACGGCCGCGTGCTGCCCACTCCCCCCCGAGGAGCGCGGGGTCTGTGCTCAGGAGCAGGTGAGTGACCGAGGTGGGGAGGGGGGTCAGCGGCTCGGGGTGACCCCCACAGCCCCCCTGACCCCCCTTCCCCGCTGTCCCCAGCTGTCCCAGGCCATCGCCACGCTCTGTGCCACCCCCCAGGACGCCTGGCGGGACCCCCAGGGCTGCTGCTCGTGGGAGGAGCCCGAGCGGCGCCGCTGCTTCGACAACACCTACCTGGGCCAGGTGACCCTGGGGGCCGCCGTGGCCCCCCCACCCCCCGGCCACGACGAGTGAACCCCCCCCTTTCACGCCCCCGGCACGAGTGGGGCAATAAAGATGCTGTGGTGTCACCTCTGAGTGTCCCCATTGTTTGGGTTTTGGGGGGGGAGGCACTGTGTCTCAGTGTCTCCACTGTTTTGGGGCCCCACCCCTGTGTGTCAGTGTCCCCATTGTTTTTGGGGGGGGCCCCCCCATGCCCCCATTCCAGGGTGTGCCGGGGTGTGGGTGGGTGTTGGGGTGTTTGTGCTGTCAGGGTGTGTCGGGCCCGCTGTGATACCTGTGTTTGGTTTTGGGGTGTGCTGTGGTCACCTCCTGGATTCTGGTGGCCCCACAGTGTCACTGTCACCCGTGTTCCCCCCCCTGCCATGATCCCAGGGGTTCTCTGTGTCCCTACAGCCCCACAACTGTGGCTGACAGTCCCCAGGGGGGGACTTCTCCCATCCCTGGGGCCCCTTCCCAGCATGGAGCAAACCGGTCCCAGCCTTTATTCCCAGTTTTATTTGAAAAATAGTCGTATAATTCTCGGCAGCCTCCACTGGGATACGGGGTGGAGAGAGAGGGATCTGTGCTCTCCCTTGGGAATATTGCACCTCCCCTGTTCCCCAGTATTCCTGGAGGCAGAAGTTGGCCTGGGGCCCATTTCCTGAAGCATCCCTGGATGGATTGACCTTCATGGATCTGGCCGAGCACGATCCATGGGAAGGCAGAAGCCAGCAGGCCAAAGAATTCCCAGGAAAACAGAGCTGGGGGAGCTCATCCCTCCATTCACTGCAGCTGGGCGAGGGGTTCCCACCCCTTTCCCAGGGGAAATTTCTCATGGAGTGGCAGAATTCCGCCCGGGAGCGCTGTCCTTGGAGACGGGGAGGGAAGAGGCCGAGCTGGAAGGGCCGGGGTGTCACATCTTGGGGAAGCTGGCCAGGTTGGCCACGCCGCAGGCATTGTTCATGTTGCGGGCCAGGAGGACGTAGCCCTTGTTGCCCCACTCCTCGCCCCAGCTGGGGGTGGAAAAGCAGAGCCTGAGCCTCTAGAAGAGCCATTCCCGAATCCAGAGCAGCCATCCCGCCATCCCACCCCCCACTGCACCTGTTCTTGATGATCCAGTGCTTGGTGCCCTTCTGTGTCCCGTAGCCCACGGCCAGCACGGCGTGGTTGATGTTCTCCGCGTTGCAGTTCTCGTCGTAGTAAACCCCTGGGGACACAGGGCTGTCACCCCCTCAGCTTCTCTGGGCAGCCCCAGCACCCCCAGCGCGCCCCCCAGCCCCTCACCCCGGCTGTAGAACTGGAAGGAGGGCAGGCTGGCGTCGATGCCCACGGAGATGGGGCCGATCCGGGCCACCGCCCTCTTCAGAGCCTTCTCGTTGCCCTCGGGGATCTCGCGGTAGCCGCGGCACTTGGCGGCCTTGCCGGTGGGGCTGTACATGCAGCTCTCGTCCTGCCGGGCAGGGGGAGGCGAGATGGGGGTGAGGGGGTGGAGGGAGGGAGGGGGGGGTCCCTTTTCCCCCACACACACCTGGCCGATGTAGGGATAGGCGTCCTCGGAGTCGATGCCGCGGTTCTGCCGCACGTACTCGAAGGCGTTGGTCATGTACCCGCCGCCGCAGCCATCATTGTTGGCCACGCAGTCCACCAGGTTCTGGGGGCTCAGGGACAGCAGTTTCCCCGTCTTCCTCTTCAGCTGCCCCTCCAGGGCGCCCACCGAGCTGAACGCCCAGCACGAGCCGCACTGGCCCTGTGGAGACACAGCGGGTGACACTGGGGTGACACCGGGGTGACACCGGGGTGACACCATGCCCTGGGCACCCCTGGGAGCCCTGGGCTTACCTGGTTCTTGACAGGGGTGACGTAGCCCTTCTTGCGCCAGTCCATGGCAGCCGGGGCTCTCTCGGCCCAGTCGGGGACAAAGAGAGTCTCGTTGTGGCGTTGGTGGCCACGGGGCACCTTCAGCCCCGTCATCGTCCTCACCACCTCCTCACTGGTCTGGGGAAGGAGCCCGGGGTGGGTGAGCCTGGAGGAAGGGGGTGTGGGAGCACCCCCGAGTGCTCAGCCCCCCACGCCCCCAGTGACACCCACCATGTCCCCCAGGTGGTTCATGGCCAGCTCGAAGGTGTGGACGCCCAGCGCGTGCTCCAGGTTGTGGGTGTTGATGTACTTGAGGTTCTTCTCCCAGATCAGCCTCCGGGTCACCTCGTCTGCCTGTGCCACGGGGCGAGACAGCGCTGGGTGGGGGGTCCTGCCTGTGCCCCCCGCCCTGGGGACACCCTCCTGCCCCAGGGACACCCTCCTGCCCCAGGGACACCCTCCTGCCCAGTGTCCCGCCCTGGGGACATCCCTGGGGTCCCCAGCGGGCAGAGCCCCCCTCCCCAGGTCGCTCCCCACCTGGCCGTTGTACTGCTTGCCGTGGGTTTTCTTCCACAGCTCCCACTGCGTGTCCAGTTCCGGCTCCGGGTGCAGCTGGGCCAGGGCCACGGGGAGCAGCAGGGCCAGCAGCCACCACATCCTGGGGACCAGCTGAGCACTGGGAATGGGGCAGACACTGAGCCTGGGGGGCTGCGGGCAGGCAGGACTCTGAGCCCACCCCCACATCAGGAATGGGGGGCTGGGCCCCTGTGCCCACCCCCACATCAGGAATGGGGGGTTGGGCCCCTGTGCCCACCCTCGTTCAGGGCTTCGACCCACCTGCAGACCCTGCCTTAGGGCCAGAGCCCCCTGCACACCCTGCACCCCCTGACTCGGGGCTGGGATCCCCTCCCCACCTTAGTTTGGGGCACTGGGCCCCTCTTCCCACCCTGACTGAGATCTGGAACACCCTGCCCACCTTAATTTGGGGCTGGAACCCCTATCCAGCCTGATTTGGGGCTGGGCCCCCCTGCCAGGCCTAGCTGGAGTCCAGTACACCCTTCCCAGCCTGATTTGGGGGTGTGGGACCCCCTGCCCACCCCGATAAGGGGCCAGGACACCCCGGTGGCAGCGCCGGCCCAGCGCCAGCGTCACATGAGCAGCCACAGCTGGTTCCAATTACAGCATCCGCGTCTTTCCGGCAGCTCCAAACCCTGGAGAACCAAACTCTGGGGTGCAGGGGGAGCAGGCAGGGGGGTCCCAGCCCTGGTTTCACCCACCGGCCCCCAGAGCCCCGGGGGGAGCAGGGACAGGGACATCAGCCCGAGCCCCCCCGATGTGACATCCTCAGTATCCCCCTTTGTGCCTCCAAGGGTCCCACGTGGGACCCTCTTCCCTCCCATTCCCACTGAGATCCGTTTCCCTGGGGAAAAAGCCCCACCCCCACCCCACTGGATCTCCTACCAGCCCTGGGACCCCCCTCTTCCCCTCAGGGCTCTTACCCCAGCATGGAGCCGTCGGTGGGAGCACTGGAAGCACTGGGAGCACTGGGAGAGCTGGGCCGGGGCTGCTCCGCTTTTTATGCCGCTGGATGGATTGAGGAAGTTCGGAGGCAGCCGGAAAATCTTGGCAGGCGTCGGGTTTGGATGGGGCCGGGGGGAGGGAGGGAGGGGACAGGGGAGGGGGCCGGGGGGGCTGCCCCGGCTTCACGTGATGCTGCAGGACGGGTTGAGTCAGCCCCGGCGCGGGGTTGGTGCCACTGGGTCCTGTCCTGGGGACATCCCTGTCCCAGCCACGTCCCTGTCCCAGCGACATTCTCCTGCCCCTGGGACACCCTCCTGCCCCACTGTCCCAGCCCGGGGACACCCTCCTGCCCTAGGGGTGTCCCACCCCACCACCCTGCCCCAGGACACCCTCCTGGCCCAAGGATCCCGCTCCCAGGAACGTCCTGCCCCACCATCCCACCTGGGGACATCCTCCTGCCCTGGGGACATCTCCTCATTCCCAAGTCCTCCCCACGGCCGGGCAGGACAGGGCAGCTGGTACTCCTGGGGACCCTCGATCCCCCCCAGCACCCTGGGTGGGGGGCTGAGCAACCAACGCCTCCAGGAGAGGCCGGACAGGGCAGCTCGGGGGCATCGGGGTCATCCTGGGACAGCAGGAGCAGAGCACAGCAGCCAGCCCTGTCCCCAGTGTCCCCAACCCAGGGAGCAGCAGCCAGCCCTGTCCCCAGTGTCCCCAACCCAGGGAGCAGCAGCCCAGCCCTGTCCCCGGTGTCCCCAACCCAGGGAGCAGCAGCCAGCCCTGTCCCCGGTGTCCCCAACCCAGGCACCCCCCAGGCCCAGTTTGGGGGTCCCAGGCTGGTCCCCGAGGGGGGGTCAGATGGTGCTTTCTGCTGCTGTCCCCCCATCACGCGGCTCCTGCGGGACAGGGTGGAAGGTCCCGCTGGCACCAGTGCCCTGTGCCAGGCGTGGGGACATCGGGGACATCGACATCATCATTGCCACTGTCACCGCCACTGCCACTGTCACCCTCTGGCCACGGGCACCGGCCTGGCCTGGCACAGGCAGAGCCAAAAGGACGGGGCAGCACCAAGGAGGGTGTGTGGGGGTCAGGCTGGAGCCCCCCCCCACCCACGGGGTACCCCAGAGAGGGGTCACCCCCCGTGTGACCTGGGCTGGGGGGCTGAGTCACCCCCGGGGCTCCAGCACAGAATCATCGGCCCAGCACGAGGCCCTGACGTGGCCCTGCATGACTGGGGGGGCACCGGGCGGGGGGAACGGGGCTGGAGGGTCAGACTGGGGGGTCAGGTGGGGTCTGGGGGGGAACAAACAGGGGGACAGGGGTGAGGGAGGCAAACAGAGCCTGGGGGGTCAGATTTGGAGAGGGGACAGGGTTTGGGGGGGAGAATGGGGGTTTGGGAGTTATGGGGGAGCAAACCAAGGGGGCACAGGAGTCAAATCAGGGGGATGGGGGGGCAAACTGGGGGAACAGGGAGTTTGGGGGGGCCACAGTCCTCGGAGGGGGAGGGACAGAGAGAGGCAGAAATGATGACAAAGCTTTGAAAAAGGGAAAAAAAAAATTCTCTTGTAAAAATCTCTGCTGCCCAGAATTCCTGGGATGAGGAACCTGGGACTGGGACACATCCCAGGGCGGGGAGTTTTTGGATCCTGCCCCCCCCCCCAAATGATTGTTCAATAAAATCCCCCCCCAAGGGAC